GAAAAATACTGTATATTGTTTATACAGAATTTCATAAAAACTAGTACAACTGAATTATTCAGGCGTTTTTTTTCCTTCTAATTCTTATTATTATATAGTCTTCAAATTCTTTAAAGGTAATTCTGACGGATTTGAGAAAATAAGTTTTATTATTTAAGTGAACAACAGGCTAGCATGAGCTAACATGCTTTACTTTTTTATGAGTAGTATTGATCACATATTTGCATCCACATTTATTTCTGTTGTGAGTATAAAAAAACAACAAAATAACTATTTATTCTGTTGTGTTTCGTCACATTTTTAAAGAGCCACGGCAGAGGGAACAAAGAGCCGCAGGATGCAGACCCCTGGTCTATACAATGAGCTTGTATTGTGATGAAAACTGAAGACAAGCTCACATGTGTAGCACATTAGTTGGATAATTATGCATGTTTTATTACAGAACCATTTAAAGTACCTTCCCGGAGAAGCTGACAACAAAGAACATGGAGCAGCAGAAGAGGATCCAGTATTTCACCAGAATCCCTTTTACACCTGAGATCAGCATCGCCACCAGAGGTGAATGATGACTTTCCTCCTCTGATTTAGAGAAAACAAAACAGGAGTAAAGAAAGAAGTAAGAGACAGAAGGAAAGCAGAAAAATAGAGCAGAAACAATCAGAACATCATCTGAGAAATCTGTTTGAAACTTGTCAGATCGATGTGAGCAGAACTTTAGTAAGAACAAACATTTTACAAATTCACACAATTAAATGTTTCTGTTTGAGGAGAAGCCGTCCAAAAAGTAAATTACGTGGCATGTCTTGGATTTCTTCTAGAGATTTATTCTTCATGCTCTGCCTCTCCTGCCTCTCCTTCAGCTGCTGACGAAACAGCAACCAGAAGTTAAAGCTGTAGAAGACCTGCAGAGGAAACACAAATTCCAGTAATTTACTGAAGAAGTGGCTCAAGTTTCACTTCAACACGTCTCATTCGTTTAGGTTTAAACTGAAATAACTCAGTTCAACTTTGGTTTAAATCTTATTGTCTTCATCAGCCTTCATTTATCTTTTGGCTTTTCAGTTTCTCTGTGCCGTCGTGTCACCTTTGCTCCCAGGTGGGTGCAGGGCGCAGGGTGGTAGCTGTTCAGGTCGAAGTCCACGATCACAGCCTGGGGCAGGCCCGGGTACAGCTCGGCCCGGCTCAGACGGAGCCCGCTCAGGAAGCCCAGAACCACCAGCACAGTGCCGTAGATGGCGAGGAAAGGGGCCGACATCATGGCGTAACGCCGGCGATCCCGCATCATCCAGATAATGCAGGACCACACAAGCAAGACAAAAGTCAGCCAGTTGTTGTAGGTGATACTCCACACCTAAATATAAATATATAAAAGACAGCTGGATTTACTTACAGATGGTTAAAATGAACAAATATTTCATTACATTTGCTCAAACAGTCAATTAAAGCTAGCACAGTTTAGCCGCTTGGTTAGTTACAGCCTTGCTTACACAGAAATGTCTGTCTTCATTAAATGTAGCTTAGCCTACAAGCTAATTTGTTAATTTGTCAAAAATATTCCCAGCTAAACAATCCACTGTACAGTCTGTACAGTTTTATGTGACCTTTAAATGGTGTTTCACTTAAGGCCCTGCTTTTAGCTGAGTCGTCCAACTCAGCTCGACTGCAGTCACCGTTTCATTGTTTGTGGTTTGAACATCCAGCTCAACCATCATCACAGTTTACTGCGGGGAAAGAATAAAAATATTTGGACAATATTTGTTTCAGCAAAAACAGTCAAATCAAGAAATGTAGCATCTGAGTAACTTTAGGGGAAAAATGTACTTTTAGGAGTATTTTTACTGTGCTGTACTTTTTACTTTTACTTGAGTAATTTTATTATCAAGTATCGCTACTCTTACTTGAGTAAAATTTCTGGAAACTCTACCTACTGTGAGTAACTTCACTGAATGAACAAGCTTGTTTTCTCCAAAAATTCACCAGACACACACCTGCAGTTTTTGTTAGTTTCATAAATGTTTAATGCATCACAGAAACTGTTTTATTTTGAGGTTAACTAGGACGTGTTTTCCATAATTCTCTATTTTTATGACTAAACTGTGATTTAGTTGATGTGCAGTCTGGTGTGAATGACATCTCACGGTCAACTCAGAGTGTACTCTCCTTGATGCTTCAGTTAATACATGCCTTAAGCACGCACAACACATAACTTTTGTTCCCATTGTTTTTCCTGAGCCCGGCTCTTCCACAGGGAGTTCTGCCCCAGATCTGATGTTGGACAGGGGCTGGGCTCAAGATGAAGGTGTTATAATGTGCTTGCTTCCCGAATTCTGAGCCATTTGCAGAGATAATAAATTGTCTGTAAGTGGCCCAGCCGGTTGGTTTATATGTTTCTTTTTTACACACATTCAAGTCTTAATTCTGTATTTGTTCCCTTTGTCCTCTACACACAATTGATTATCATTGCTTGTTCAAATTTGCCAAATATAATCAATGAACTGGAAAACAAAAAGTAAGATGAAACAGTAAAGCCAACCACACATGTATGTGTGTAAATGATTTTTATGACTTCCATTTGTTCCTAGTGGCTGGGGGTTTAGGTGGTGGACCAGTCTGTCCACTAATTGCAAGATTTCATCGCCTGCCTCTCAACATTTAGTTCAAAATTTCTCCCAGTGGCCTGAAATCTTCGCCACCAGTGATTCGCGTGAGTAAGTGATTGTGGCAGCGAAACTATTAAGCACTCTGGAACTTCTAAAGCAATAAAAGCCATTTAATAAACACAGTTTATTTAACCTATGGGACCTCCAAGGATAGCTTTTCCAGATATCCCCTCTGCTGTCGACTGATTTAACAGCACAGGAAACCAAACGGACATAAGTTTGAGCTTTACCATCATGATGATGAGGGCGCTGACGTAGCTGTGTTTTTGCAACAGCCGTCCAAAGATGACCAGACCACTCGGGCCTGAGGGTGAAGGTGGGGTTTCTGTCAGGCTCTTTGAGACTTCCTCATTCTTTTCCTCCATTTTCCCTTCAATTTCAGATTCTTAACACAAAAGAACAAGATAAAAAAGCAAAATTGCAAGAAAAATCTTTACAAAATTTGATGAATTGATCATTTTCTGAACAGAAAACCAATGCCTGTAGTTGTACTGTGATTTGAGGACACCGTAAAGTATTTGTATATACCAAGGCAACATATTCCATGAGCTGTGGTTACCGTGTGGAGGCGAGTCTCTGTCTCCATTATGTGACGGAGTGTAACAGTTTGAGTAACCTGCCCCTTCCAGCAAACCAAGACTGCTGCTGTGGACGTTTTGCCACGAAATTCCAGTTATCAAAATCATTGGCTGTAAGAAAAAAAAATAAACATTTCACTGCAGAATTATTTCAATCATATCAGCTTTTAAATGTGATTTAGCTATAAAAAAAACCCCTTTACCTCATCAGGCAAATAGGTTTCATCATCTGTGCTGCTTAAAAGCTGGAAAAAAATTAATTAGAGATAGAAGCAAAACAGCATGAAACAGACATAAAATATCCTCATCCAGAGCAACTACTAATAGGTGTAATTGAAGGATACTTGACCTGCGAACCAGAATCAACTCATACTAAGATTATAAAACATTATTCAAACCAATAAAACAAGAGGACAGAGTTTTTCTTTGCAGGTTACCTCTTGTTTATCTCCTGAGATGTAGATGACCCTGGAGAAGCTTGGAGGAGCTTCTGGACTTTCTAAAGGGCTCTCAGACTCATCAACGACAACAATATCCTGAGAAGAATAACAGTTATTAAAAAGCTTGTCGAGCGAGTTCATACCATGTAAAAACTGTTCACGGTGTAAAAGTATTTTCAGGAGGAGTAGAGCTCGTTTCTGTAACAATGGTAGTCTCGAATGAAGTGGCAACCTTAAAGGGGCAATATCATGTAAAATCAACTTTTTTGGGTTTTATATCATGTTATAATGTTAAACTCTCATTAAAAAAGCATGCCCAAAGCCTTGCTCTGACTCATTCATGCATGTTTGATAAATCCTGCAGCGTTTTTAGGAAGCCATGCTGAGGAGCAGAACGACAGGTGGGGACCAGAAATGCCTTTTGGCGCCAGAAACGCCCCTGGGACGTGTCTTTAAGCCGAACTTCCTCATCACGGAGCACACTTCCCCACCCCCCACCCCACGCACCCCGCCCATGAC